TAGACAATAGTTTGAGAGATGTGGTGACACCCAAGGTGCAGGCAGATGATGGGTGACCACGAGAACTGGGAGGCAGCCGGTGCAGGAATCCCCTGCGGTCACCCCCTCTCTAACAAGTATACCGTTTTGGATACTGTTGGGGGGGATAAGTTAGTGAGACACGACCTCCCCTTCACAAAACCATGTTGCCTCTCGCTAATACGCCCGTTGATTTCCAGGTTCGGAGTAAATCCTGTCTTGAAGAATCCTCTCAAATAATTTCCCTACCACTGACGTAAGGCTCACCGGCCTGTAATTAGCTGGATTATCCTTGTCACTTTTCTTAAACAGAAGAACAACATTGGCTATTGTCCAATCCTATGGGACCTCCCCTGTAGCCAGTGAGGATAGAAAGATTTCCCTCAAGCCACAGCAATTTCCTCCCTTGCCTCTCTCAGTATTCTGGGGTATATCCCATCAGGCCCTGGGACTTGTCAACCTTAATGTTTTTCAAGACCCCCAATACCTCCTCCCTTTTGATCTCAACATGTCCCAAACTATATACAGACCCTTCCCCAGACTCATCATCCACCAAGTCCTTCTGTATGGTGAATACTGGCACAAAGTACTCATTTAATACCTTGCCCATTTCCTCTGGCTCCATACATAGATTCCCTTCCCTGTCCTTGAGTGGGCCAACCCTCTGCCTGGCTACCTTCTTACTCTTTATATATGTATAAAAAGCCTTGGGATTTCCCTTAATCCTGTTGGCCAATGACTTTTCATGACTCCTTTTAGCCCTCCTGGCTCCTTGCTTAAGTTTCTTTCGACTTCCCCCTAGCCTTGATAAATGCTTCCTTTTTCTTTTTGATTAGGTTCACTATATCTCTAGTTATCCAAGGTTCCCTAAACTTGCCATACTTATCCTTCATCCTTCATCCTTAAAGGAACGTGCCGGTCCTGAGTTCCAAGCAACTTACACTTGAAAGCCTTCCCCATACCAGATGTTGATTTGCCCTCAAACATCTGTCTCCAATCTAAATTCTTCAGTTCCTGCCTAATATTCAATGGCATTACCATCATTGAATACCCCACTATCAACATCCTGGGAGTTATCATTGTCCAAAAACTCAACTAGAATCACCACAAAACACGGTGGCTATGAGAGCAGGTCAGAGACTAGGAATACTGCAGCAAGTAACACATCTCCTGACTCCCCAAAGCCTGCCACCATCTACAAGGTACAGGTCAGGAGTTCAATGGAATATTCCCCACTTGCCTGGATGAGCGCAGCCCCAACATCAAGAAGCTTGACACAGGTCAAAGCAGCCCGCTTGATTGGCACTACATCCACAAGCATCCACCCCCTTCACCTGCAACACTCAGTAGCTGCAGTGTGTGCTGTCTGCAAGATATACTGCAGAAATTCATCAAAGATCCTCAGACAGCACTTTCCAAACCCCTGAACACTTCCACCTAGAAGGACAAAGGCAGCAGAAATATGGGAACATCACCACCTCCAAGTTCCCCTCCAGGCCATTCACCATCCTGACTTGGAAATACATCACTGTTCCTTCACTGTCCAAATCCTGGAATTCCCTCCCTAATGACATTGTAGATCAACCCACAGCAGGTGGACTACAGCGGTTCAAGAAGGCAGCAAACCAGCACCTTCTCAAGGGCAAGTAGGGACAGACAATAAATGCTAGCTAGCCAGCAATGCTACATCCCACAAATGAAAAATAAACTTGGCCCATAGCCTCATATGCCTTAGCAACACATGTAAGCATCTAAATGCTTCCTAAATGTTCTGAGGGTTTCTGTTTCTACCGCCCTTACAAGCGGTGAGTTCTGTATTACCAACACTCTGAATGAAAAAATTTTCCTCACATCTCCTCAAAACCTCCAAAAGTTTCTTCCTTTTTATCCTGTCTATGGCCTTCATAATTTTATACATCTCAATCACGTCCCTCCTCTGTCTCCTCTTCTCCAAGGAAACCAACTCCAGTCTAATCTCTCTTCAACTCTCCAGCCCAGGCAACATCCTGGTAATCTCCTCTGCACCCTCTGCAGTGCAATCACACCCCTCCTATAATGTGAACTCCAAAACTGCAGACTCTCCTCTAGCTATGGTCTACACAATTTTTCATACATTCCAGCATAACCTCCCTAATCTTAAAGTCTATGCCTTGGCCAATGAAGGCAAGTATCTCATATGCCTTCTGAACCACTTTATTTACTTGTTCTGCTACCTTAAGGTACAGGTGGACATGCACATCAAGGTACTTCTGATCCTCAGTGGTTCCCAGGAGAAATAAATGCTGGCAAAGCCTACATCCTATGGACAAAAAAATTCACTCCACTTAACGCGAGTTATTGGATGAAATGACTGTGGCAGATCTTATACTAGTGGAAGTGAATATACATTTTTCAAGTGCAGATTTTAGGCAATGATTGAAGACCTTTGTCACTGATGTGCCCTGAAAAAGCTTCTATTTTCTCTCCTTCCTTGCCCTACTTGTGCAGGCCAGGTTTCTGCAATCAGGTGGAGGGGATCTAGGAAGGCATCCCCTGACAATTTTCAGCCTGAACTATTGAGGCTCTCTTGCTCATATGCAAGCTCACCTTTCTTAGCTTTAGATGCTGGAGGCACTGGGGTCACAGACAAGGGGAAGGTGGAAGGGTAGGGTACCTCATGGTGTCATACATAGATGTTGGTGTGGTCTTTCAGTCCTCCTCCCTGTGAGAGAGAGGTAAAGCTGGAGTGAGGTCAAGATCCCTCATGCTCTCACCTCCATGGATGCAGCATACCCATGGCTAAATCAATGGAGTGCTTATCCGTGCACATATCCAGCAGCCACTCAGCATTCCAATGGGTCTAAGTCTCTAGGTTAGCTTGGAAGGGAAAGTGTCCCCAAAATTTGGGCCAAAGTGAGCTGTCTTGTACTACTAATTTAAGCAAACAAACAGATGGAATTCACCACTAACCAGACACTGCAGTCAAGCTAAAAACATGTACTGCCTACCACACTAAAGAGAAATGTGTAACGTGATTTTCAGTGCCAGTGTAATACCAGGTATGCAGGCCATATTTCCTAATTACTGACAAACCATATCAAACAACATGTCCCTTTGACTGTCCATGCCAGAATCAAACTTCCTAGTTTTGAATCCAATCAGTTTATCGAAGACAACTAACCATTCCTGCTGCATCTTCATGATAAGCATTACCTAATCAGTTAGCAATCTGTTTTCATCCTATATAAGTTGTTGCTTCCTTTCTAAAGTCGGGGTTCTTCTTGAATTTCTGTCTTCATGACTGCAAGAATGAAAGCTTCAAGTTCATGTCTCTTTTAGCAATATTTGTGTTCTGTACCACCAAGCATTACAACAAATACTATAATTCACATTGAGTAAACCAAGCAATATTACTTTGTGCAAACAAAGACACAGCCTTAGAAACATGCCAGGTGTGATGCTGACCATATAAATCAGTGAAATCCCACATTTGATTCTTCACACTTACAGAGTCAATTAGTCCCAGCCAAAATAACATCAAGGGTAAAATTACATCAGTTGGCAATTCCTTCACTGGTCACTCTTTGCAATATCTATTTGAATGTCTGCACATTGGACAAAAACAATTAACTGAACATGTTCTGTAAAATATGAAATGGACTGGAAGGATTTGAAGATCAAGTACCCAGTGTCTTCTGACAATGACAAAACACAAGGCATCCACCCACACAACTACAAAGACCACTTGTTTCCAAAACAGTGAATCAACACATTTTCTTCACAGAACAATCCCTCAATGGAGTAAGTAGCCAAAGGAAACAGTCACAGCCCCATCACTTGAAATCTTCAAGACCTATCTTCAGATTATTTCCATTTAAAAAATTTTTAAATTAAACAAAATTATTATCAGAACCACCATCCCAGCAAATCATGTCTAGTTCAACTAGCACTGCCTTTATATATTTTGGTGGAATATAGATATTGATCTGTGATAATAACATAATTAAAGCAGAAGATTTGATTTGGAATCAATTGCATTGTTTTCTTCTCCCCCTGCATATATTAATAGTCCAGCAGTACACATTATCGTTGAAACAATGGTAACTTGCTGTGTAAGGTTAATGCTAGTTATGGAACAATGTTGCTACACTATAAGTCATGGCCTTTACGAGATTAAAAAATGCAGATGAATGAGGAAAATTCAAATCACAGATACGGAGCGATATGGAGAGGTCATGGTAACAGCTTCATTACAGAAATTTTGTTAAGTTTTCAGCACAAGTTGGTGAACACAAACAGTGTACCTTTTCAATTGTTGTTCTCTGACCATCAGAAGTCATTGCTCAGATAAATTTCAACACTCTGCACCTCATTTAAAAAAATAATATGGTAACTTTATTTTGAAGAAATAAAACATAAAAGTTGAATCTTTTATCTTAAATGCTCTTTGACTGCTTGGCCTTCCAAGCTAACAAGGCTCAGGTGGTTTAATCTGGTGAACACACTTTCATTTCTTCAATGGATATACTACTTCTTCCAGACAATATTATTCATTGTTTAGTTGACCAAAATAGAAATATGAATGTCCCTTTCCATAGGAGACTATCACAGAAACTACAATTGAACTTGAAATAAAACTATTTTCCTTTTACTGAAGTTCAAACTTGTACAATTAAGTTGGTCTCACCCTTTTCCAGAGTTATGTATCTTGCAGAGGTACTACTATTGGAATAGTAAAATATTATTTCCTGTCTATTTTTGGTCTATTGCTCCTTTTTTCACTCAAGTTGCTTTCACAATTAAGTTCCCCATCATACTCTTCTGTGCATCATCCTAGTTCCCAATTTCTTATTCTACATCACTTGTTAACCATCTGAGTAGTGGAAAGGTACAAAGAACAAACAAATAAGCAATTCTTTTGTGTTTTGCTGCCAAAACATTTGTAAATCATTCATAGAAATTACAATTGGGTAGGATTCTTCAACTAATAGTGCACAACATACCTCTGGCCAAGTCATAGGAATCCTCAAGTGCAGGGATTACATCTTTTCCAAAGCGTGTTTTTACGTTACCACCAAGTATACTCCCAATATCTACATGAGAAAACAGCACATCACAGAGTTCAACAAAATGCAATTCCACAGAAATAATTTTTAAGAGAACATTCTCCATGAATTCAAAGCTGTTAAGGATTATAGCTGCTTGCTATTCATTTCTCATATACATGTAGATACTCACAAGTCAGAAAGTTATTTCAACATGCATTACTCAAGAAGGTTCTCATTATATACATGGGAGACATTGTAGATGTATGACTCTGAATGAAAACAACAGCTGGTACAGTATTATACAAAATAACTTACTTTAATACAGTGCTTGTAGTAATTGTAATGAGATCAGCCAGGTGGACTTCATAGAATATGAGTTCCCTGATTGGGGCTGTTAACCTGGTCTGACCAGGAGCCCTGGCTGACAGATAAGAACAGCAGTATCAAACATCCTGTTCATTCTGAGAGCTGGCTCTGAGGGAGCTGGATCAATATCAAGAACTCTCCATGAAAAAAGGATGACGTGGTGATGGGACACCAGCCTCTGTGGAGTTATTTCAATGGTAATGAGAGTAAAGCACCCTCTTGAAGAAATTTGCTTGCAACAGTCTTTGAGTTGAGGTAAGCATTTATGCCATTATTTTGGAAGCTTGACTCATTCGATCCTGCCATCAAAGACTGGGCCCAGTATATGGAAAGAATGCATTATTTTTTCTGGGCAAATGACATTGGGGTAGATGAAAGGCAAAGAGAAATTCTCCTGTTAGCTTGTGCACCCACAACTTTTTTGGTTATTAGGATACTAACTTTCCCTGAGACACTAGATACTAAAACCTTTCAAGTTGACAGACTTAGTTAAGGAATATCATGACTCCAAATCTCATCTAATTCTGAGGCACAATTGGTTTTACTCGGCAATTCAAGAACCAGGGGAATCCGTGTTAGGAGCTTCCTTCCTTTGTTCATTCACAGGATGAGGGCATTGCTGGCTAGGCAGCAATTATTGCCAATCCCTAATTGCTCAGAGGGCAGTTAAGAGTCAACCACATTGCTGTGGGTCTGGATTGACTAGCATAAGACAGCTGGCAGAGACATGTGACTTTGGTTTCACTCATAACGACATGCTGAGAAACCATTTGGTATTTGGGATTAACGATGTAACCATGCAAAAGCACCTATTAGCCGAAGCTGAACTGGACTTCAACAGGCACAGCAACTGGCTTTGTCACTGGAACATGCAGAAAGTGGAGCATACCAGTTGCAGGGTATTCCAATGGAAATAGATATGCTCACCTGTCCGACTGAGCTTGGGGAATGCCACTTGAGTGAAGGCAATTGCATAGCCTCACTCAGGACGTATCCTGAGCAGAGGGACTCTAATTAGCCCATAGCAAAACCCCAAAACAGAGCCAAGCCTCAGCCAAACAGTTAACATTTTCTTCAAGATCCGGGCCAGCAAGTCATTGTAGTTGCTGCCAGTTGCTTTCAGCCTTCCAACATTTAATTTGATAAAATTCTTGCTCATCTATGAACTTCAGGGTTAAGTGGTCCATAACAAGAATTGTGCATCAAGTTAATCAATTCTCTGGCCTCCAAGCTTTAGACTTTAAAAATACCAACTGTACTTGGGACAGTAGACATTGGAACTAAATAATTTAGTGACAGTATTGAAGACATAAGTGAAGAAATTCAGCTCAACAACATTAATGATGTAATAATTGGAGTGCAGTAATAGAGGAGGGAGAGGAGTGTTTAAAAATAAGTTGATAGGTGATCAGGGGAATGACTTCCCCTTCCCTTCAAAATATGATGAATGGGAGGAGGGAAGTTAGCAGATTTCAGGCAACTAATTTATTGGGCTGGAGAGTCTGGAGTAAAATCAGCATGGATTCCCATTTCTGATTTCAACAGAGGTTTTAACGCGTAAGCTTTTAACACCAGCATAAGTCAGGATGATTTGCAATGCCAACTATGAATAATAATCATACAACAATGAGTTCTAAAGCAAATTTAGCAGGACACTAGGAGGGTGCCAGCATCCATGCAAATAAACCCCAAGGTAAGTCTTTGCCTACAAGGAGGTTGTATGGTTGTGAAATGCACTGTAAAATGCAGATCTTTCTATTCATTTCATGGTTGTCTATAGGATGTTGCTGTGCTTCCTTATATGATCATTAATGCACTTCAAAATGATTTGATTGGCTGTAAAAAGTTGCTATATAAATGAAAGTTGGTTTTCAAGTAAGATTGCTTAATACATTGGAATAAGCTTGTCCAATAATAATGTAAAATTGTTTTAACATGCGACATTACACAGTAAAATCAAATAATATGACATAATTCAGAAGTGATTATCTTTTAAGACAAAATATCGAAAAAGGTAGTTTCAAAACAACATATAAAAAGGTAAAGTATATTTTTGTTCTAAAATCTTGAACGATTTCTTCATAACATAATGTTAAGTAATGGAAAGATTTGCAGGCCAATTATCAGCTCATAAGATCAATAGAAGAGCCACATTAATACACATTGTGTGCAAGTGTCTTATTGGGTGTTAATCCAAAATTCTGAACTGGTCTTCATTCAGCAGGATTAAGTTCTAAAGTACTGGCCCCTAAAGTGGCTACTTCCAATGAGCTGGAGTGAGGAGTTCAAAGGTTATGAGTGTCACCATGCTTGAGCCCTAGGGAGGAAGGGAGGTACCTCCCTCAAACATAGAATCGCTACAGTGCAGATAGAGGCCATTTGGCCCATTTCAAAGAGCATGCCACCCAGACCCACCCACCCCCCCAAACCCTATCCCTGTAAACCCACATTTACCATGGTTAATCCACATAGCCTACACATCCCTAGACACTACAGGGCAAGTTAGCATGGTCAATTTACCTAACCTGTGCATCTTTGGACTGTGGAAACCTATACATTCACGGGAAGAACATGTAAATTTCACACAGACAGTTGACCAAGGCTGGAATCGAATCAAGCTCCCTGGCAAAAGTGAGGCATAAGTGCTAACCACTGTGCCACTGTGCTGCTATGGCCCCCTTTCAAGGTTGGTTCCCACCCCACCCAAGGTCTCCTCACTTTTCCTGGGAGATTCTTTCTACTACAAAATCTCACCTCCCCCCGCATCCATCCACCTTCTTTGAGCCTCTACTTTGTGAGACCCTCCCAAACCTATGTGATTGTGGTCTTTGGGACAACGACCCTGTGGATTGCTTGTAGCCCTGGTCCAGCTACCAGTGCGCTGAGACTGCTGCAACTACAGAGCAGTTACCAGATTAGCTAGTAAATCTCCAAGGTAGGACTTCCGCCCGACTGAGTATTCGACGGCCAGGCAATTAACACACCATATAAATAGCTGCAGGGTTTCCGTGATTGCTGGGTTGCATTTCCTGCTGCTTCTTCAGAGTGTTGACCATTTAGCAGGCCAGCAGGGTGGTGTGAAGGACTATCCTGTTTAGGTTTTACATTCCCTGGATCTACATTCTTTCCCATGTTTTATAATTCCCAAATTTGTAGAGAAGATCTCAGTCAGCCGTAGAACTGAATGGTCCATCTCCTGTTTAATTGGTTTACTTGGTTTAATTCCTGTTTGCTTTTCATTTTTTCAATTTCATGACTCAAGCTTTGTGACTTCCTCCAGGAGAAGTTGGTTTAATATTACCTCCTTTGCTGCTTTAGGGACCTCAATAAGGTCAAGACAATGATCATTCAAAAACTCCTGAAACAATTTTTTTGGTTTGTTCAACACTGTTTCACAAGGTAAACACAGGCAACATTGGTTATAATCAACTAAGTTTAATTAAATCTGTACAATTTAGCTTTATGAAAAAATTGTTCAGACTGAGGCTGGAGGAGTGTACCATCACTCTAGTTTCATTACTCCATGGTTTGCAACGTAAAAATATGTTTTCCAGTTACTAAATTGACCAATTAAATACCTCATCTATATCAAAAACAGAAGATCTATTAATCAGGTTTCTTGAAACACAATTGGGTTTATAATCAAAACAAAGATTATTGAATAAAGATGCAATAATTGGATATCATACAGCCATTAATATAAAAATAAAAATCAGTGTCCCTCTAAATATCTCCTAACATATGCAAACACAATCACACAAACACTCTTCAGGAAAAAAAAGATATCTGTGCAGTGATTGGCTGTCTGAAGCAAAAAGCACTAAGGCCAATTGGTTAGTCTTGAAGGTTCAATGTCAAAGAGCAGATGTTACAGAGTTTGTTACTCTGATATACTGGCACATATGATAATTAACCGCATATGGTGGTCTCTGGAGTGTCGCATAAACAGCTTGGTCAAGAAATACAATATTTTTTCAATCACCAAATCAAAAGAACAGAAGATTTTCACCTTGAATTAATGTAGAGGGCTTTGTTTTCAGAAATAGGAAAGATCAGCTGTGCAGAGATAGTAGGAACTGCAGATGCTAGAGAATCTGAGATAACAAGGAGTAGAGCTGGATGAACACAGCAGGCCAAACTGACGTTTCGGAAGAAGGGTCCAGACCCGAAACGTCAGCTTTCCTGCTCCTCTGATGCTGCCTGGCCTGCTGTGCTCATCCAACTCTACACCTTGTTATTGTGTCTCCCGCATTTCCCACAACTCATCCTTCACACCCCCTCCCTGCAATAACAACCAAAACAGAATCCCCCTCGTCCTCACGTACCACCCCACCAACCTCGGGATCCAACGCATCATCCTCCGACACTTCCGCCATCTGCAATCTGACCCCACCACCAAAGACATTTTTCCCTCCCCACCCTTATCTGCTTTCCGGAGGGACCACTCTCTTTGTGACTCCCTTGTCCGCTCCACACTCCCCTCCAGCCCCACCACTCCCGGCACTTTTCCCTGCAACTGCAGGAAGTGCTACACCTGCCCCTACACCTCCCACCTCACCCCCATCCCAGGCCCCAAGAAGACCTTCCACATCAAGCAGATGTTCACCTGCACATCTGCTAATGTGGTATACTGTATCTGCTGTTCCCATTGTGGCCTTCTCTTACATCGGGGAAATCAA